AAATAAGCTTAAATACAAATACAAATACATGGTACATTCTCAAGGCGTTTCCATACACGAGACAAGCATGACATTTCAAAAGGGGAAGTTCACTTGGACTGTTACAGCAAAGTACATAGGAGAAATATAAAAAAGAGAAGTTCCTATTTCGTCTTAAGCTGTCAGCAGCTTTCACCTCTGTTCTATCTCTCACCCACGTCTGGCTTCCTGTGGCTCCACTTTACAGGGTCTTGCCACACAGTTCAGCCCTATTTGTAATACTTATGAGGAAGTTGGGGAGAAGGTTCACTGCAGCTAAAAGTCAACTTTGGGACTCCAGGGCACTGGAATAAAAGCCAAACTAAAATGAATTTATAAGGTCCATTCTATTAAGACCACCTAACCTGGCCAGCCACTGGTGGGTTTACCTGTGCAACCCATGCTGTATCACCATACCTTGATCCAGAATTATATAAAACTACGCAAGGGAGAAGTTGAGTATGTGAGCCCTCTTCTGTGTTCTGTGACATTGCATGCATGCTCAAAGAAAGCTGACCTTGCAGCTTGATGCTGTCATTACCATTTTAGATGAGAGTCTGAGAGACTCCTGACATGTTGGTAATAATAGAAACAGACAAGAGAAGCTTTATGATTCAACCATAAAAAAGTGGGGTTCCTGCGGATTTTACTCTGCTTATAGTCATTGGCGACTGTAGGGGGTAGTGCTCATCTCTGTTTCAAGGCCCATTGAGCCAGCAATGTCCAAAGACATTACCACAGCCATTAGTGCCATATTTACATGCTCACAAATTCCAGAAAGGCTAGTCCTATTAAAAAAAAATAAGGAAGTAGTTGTTGAGCACAAGATTTCAAAACTAAGGTCTTATTTTATGCAAATACTTTTTTTGTAGAGAGATAAATTGTGTGTCCAAGAACCAGAAGTAGTAACTTGCTTTTTTATGCATGCTGTACTTATTTGACTTTGTATGATATCCGGAAATATAATACATTAAGTAACTATGCAATGAGTCTCTTAAATTAAGTCCTTAAGATCACAGTAGCCATTTTTCTGCATTAGAGATGAGTTGTAAATAAGTGGACATGATGATTCATCTATTACAAGAGTATTAAAAAAAAAGTAACAAAAAGAAATGATGTTCTTTTTCTGTTCTCTTAGGTACTAAACAATGGTGGTTTGGTGGTGGAACAGACCTTACACCAACTTACTTGAATGAAGAAGATGCTATTCATTTTCATAAAACTCTAAAGGACGCCTGTGATCAGCACAATCCTGAGCTATATCCTAAGTTCAAGAAATGGTACGTAGGGATTTCATGTCAGAATTTTTTCTAAATGGTTGCTATCATTCTTGGAACTGATGAAACTAAACGTATGTTTAGCTCTTGAAATTAATAATCCTCTCTTCTTTCTATCCAGGAAAGTGATTAAAGGTCTTTCTGTTTTAAAACAGTTTTAGAATATATTGCAATATTTTCTGTTTAGTAATATTGTGTGTTTACTTTTCAAATAAAGCCGTTCCACTAGGTTGTTTTCTTGTGTTTTGACTCAGTCTTTTCACTCTTCTGTGGCCTATATTATCCTTTTAACTGGCACTATTGGGGTTAACAGGTGTGATGAATATTTTTACATCAAGCACCGTGGAGAACGGCGGGGAATAGGAGGCATCTTCTTTGATGATTTGGACTCGCCTTCAAAGGAAGAAGCTTTTCAGTTTGTGCAGAGTTGCACCAAAGCTATTGTGCCTTGTTATATTCCCATTGTGAAGAAACACTCACAGGACAAGTTCTCACCAAAAGAAAAATTATGGCAGCAGATCCGTAGAGGGAGGTGAGTAAGAGAGGCTTTTTGAGTATCAGGATAGAAGATTGGTACACCCTTTGGAACCACTAATCCAAATGTTTTGGCTCTTTCTTTAGCCCATGTTTTTCTGGCTTAGTGTCTTGAAATTTCTTGAACTTTAACATCCAGAGTTTCTATTACTATGGCTTTACTATTAAAAGTTAATACTACTAAGGCCAGATCTAATAACTGCTCTTGCCTCCCATCTTTTATTTCCAAGACTAAATATTATAGAACACTTTGAAATTAAGCACTAGCACATTAATACAATTAATCAGTAACACATTAATATGATTTTGGAAAAAGTTTGAAAACTTTGAATGCTGTCAAAATATGTGTGGTTGGCTTACTCCACTCAACAGCATATTTTAAGATTTCTGCTGTTCCCAAATAGCTTTATTTCATTTGAGTGTTGGAACTATTCACTAATTCCAAACTTAAGGTCTTATGATATGAGAATTGTTGATTTTCCAATTTTATTTAGATGGAGTAGAATTCTATTTTTCTGTTTTGAGCTTTATTTTTTGTAAAATGGGATCTTTTGTGTCTTATGATAAACCATGTGGCAGCTAACTGCTGTAGCCCCACCTCCACCCACTGTCAATTCTTATGGCTGGTCTGAAAGATAAGAATGAGGTTTTTGAAATGAAGTAACTGCCACCCACCTTTCATTTTATAAAACAGATGCTATATCATGTCATACTTAAGTCTTTCTATGGCTAACCATAGATATAACAATAAAACAGAAACTAATTTTATAGGAAATTTCATAGGTCAAAATTGTACAAATAAAATGCAGTATCTTACTATCTCTATTTCTACCATCTTCTTCCCAAATTTTAAGTTGCTGATTCTGATCTTTATATCAGACACCAATTTTTGCCATATATGAAGATGTCAGTTGTGATTTCAGTATCTTCTCCACTGGCCCTTTCTACCATTTCTCAGAAAATAAGATCTCCCCAGATAGTAAGCCCAATTGGGCTTTTGAGCACATGTGCTAAAATAAGCCTTCCCCCAAAATAATGCAACACCATGAGCAGCAGCCATGAGGTGACCCCGCTCGCCGCCTCTTGCACCTCAAAAAACAATAAGACCTCCCCGAAAATAAGACCAAACACTTATTTCGGGGGAGGGGGTTTCAAAAGAAAATAAGACCCTGTCTAATTTTTGGGAAACCATGATAGTTTTTAAAAAAATCATAATAATTCTGATGTATTTTTATGCTATTAACATTTTATCCAGTCTTTCCACCAAACATATTTCTTCCATATAATTAATTCCTCTTGACCATGTATGATGATAAAAAATTATTTTATAATTTTATTAGAAATATATGCAGTGGGGTGAAAGGATCAATAAGTATTATAGAAAATTGTGTTATAGTTCAAACAGCTTATTAAATAATAGATTTAATATTTGTTCCAGTGAAGAAGACAAATGAAGATTTTTTAAAAAAAAAAATGGAAATATCAGCAATAAGCTAATAAGGACTTCATACAAATAAGACAAAACAATATTCCCCTCATCTCCTTTTCCTCTTTCCAGAATTGTGTAAATGGCAAAAGATGGATAATTTACTTTGTGTAAATAGAATAATACATTCCCCATACTTTTAGAAAGGTGCTGTTTGAGCCATTATTGCTATACAAATGCTACTATTAAGTTTCAATGCTGCCTCTCTTTGTTATCCAAGGATCTGAATGAAAAAAACAGATAATTTCTAAAACTACTCTTTATGGTGACAGTTCATTAATCTGTGTTTCGTGAGTCTGTGCAGTCATGGAAACCTGAACAATTGAGCATTCAGCTCAAGACTTTTTATGAGTGTTTTAATAGTTGTCTCTGAAAACTACTGGAATTAGGTAAATAATGTTTTGTGAAATGTTGAAAGCCAGAGTAAAAGCTAGGCAGGATCAGTAATTAAATTGCATACACCTTTGCCTTTCTCAGTGGTTAGCAAAACAGAAAAAGCGAATGCCATTTAAGATACTAGAGGAATGCCTTTGATGTTTTTGTTTCCAACAGGTATGTGGAATTCAATCTTGTGTATGATAGAGGCACAAAGTTTGGCCTTGCAACACCAGGGTCAAGAATTGAAAGTATTCTTATGTCTCTGCCACTTACTGCCAGGTAAGATCATAACTGAAATAGAAAAACAGGTTTGTGGGATAGTTTAATGATAAAAAAACAAATGGGTTATAATTGCAGTAGGCGTAAAGCCATTCTCTCGATCTGGCCTTCTGAAGGGCCATGAAGACCAGATTCTTCTCCCAAGCATTGGACTAGGATGGGGATTGAATTAAGTGTCTGTTTGGCTGGGGAGAGGGACACAGTGGCTCAGTAGCTAAGACGCTGAGCTTGTCGGCAGTTTGGCAGCAGAAAGGTCAGCAGTTCAGTAGTTTGTATCCCTAGCGCCGCGTACCAGAGTGAGCTCCCATTACTTGTCCCAGGTTCTGCCAACCTAGCAGTTTGAAAGCATGTAAAATTGCAAGTAGAAAAATAGGGACCATCTTTGGTGGGAAGGTAACAGTGATCCGTGAGCCTTCGGTGTTTAGTCATGCCAGCCACATGACCACGGAGATGTCTTTGGACAGCACTGTCTCTTCAGCTTTGAAATGGAGATGAGCACTGCCCCCTAGAGTCAGGAACGACTAGCACATATGTGCGAGAGAAATCTTTACCTTTACCTTGGCTGGGGAGAGGGAGTTACTTTTCTTTTTAGGCAAGTTTTCATGAACTGTTGTGAGCTGCCTAAAGTCATTATATGACAGGCAGCCATATAAGTCTTATAAATAAATAAGTCACTGTGTGGCAAGACCAGAGAGAAAAGGAGATGAAAGCAACAATGGGAAACAACTAAAATGGGCATTAAATTGAAAAAGAAAGGGAGAGAGAGACCACCAGGTGGGAGTTTTTGTATTCAGCATGCCTTATCCAAATTCACTTTTTTCCAGTGAGTAATGTAATTACTGGTTCTAAGAGAAGCTGCAATTATTTCTGAATAACAGAAGGCAGTGAAATATGTTGAGGCCAAGTTGGAGAATATTCAAAAGACATAAATGAAAATAGGACATTCTGGAAATTTCCCATTTCTGTCTTACCTACATAGCCTGTTTTCCCTTTTCTTCAAGCTCACCTGCAGATTGTTTTTAAAATTGTGTGTTGGTATTTTAGGGAAAATAATAGAAAACAAATCCTTTCCTCTGCAATATAGATTTTTATTGGGTAAGCTTTACAGTGTTTAACGGGTAAATTCACAGTAAAGTAAGTATGAAATAGACAGAATATATATATGTGTGTGTGTGTNTTGCCCTCCGAAAGATTTGTCGGGTTTTCAGCCCTCCTGATCTTGGCTCTGAATTCTGCCTCCTTTACTCAACGAAGCGATGGCAAACCGGCGAGAGGGGGCCTCAGTTCTCTACATCAAGCCGTCGTATCTCCTGCGTATCTTGGGATATAGAGGGAATGCTTGTTTCATGTTTGTATATGCTAAAGAGCAACCTAGGATATGCTTTTAATTAAGCGACTGCGCTCCAATTTGCAAAACAGCGGACTCTTTGCAAGAAGACTATGTATTAACACGGAAGGAAACAAAAGGAGATTTTGTCAGAAGTGGGATTCGAACCCACGCCTCCAGGGGAGACTGCGACCTGAACGCAGCGCCTTAGACCGCTCGGCCATCCTGACATTCATGTAGAGGTTTCCTAAACTATTATTAGTAATGAATTACAACAGATGAGACATTCACATTCGAAATTCTAAAAGGCTGTTTTAGATTCATAATTTTACAGTCTTGTTTAATTCAAAATATTTTAGATTTTAGTCAAGGGATTTCTCTGATGTTTCCATTGCTGAATGGATTACCATGCAAACATTTTCTCACGTTTCAAACTGAATATATGGGAGTTAAGTTTGCTAATGTTCCTATGGCCATTACCTTTAGATAAGTAAAGTTACATATAGTATCTCAGTATCAAACAAGTTACCAGTGGTTGTTTCTGTATCAGCCTCAAATTCATAATTTAAAACAGATGCAAAAGTTCCTGGATATCAATGTTTCTTTAAAAAAAAATTATCTCAGGACTCTTTCCATTTTTAAAAAATAATGACAAACCGATATGTTTGTATGGATTATATTTATCATATGAAAAATTAAAATTGATGCATTAACTGCACTTTCACTTCTCACAATTGTTTGATTGAGTGTTAATTAAAAGTATTGTAATACTTTTCAATATTGGCTAGCCAATAATTTGGATTTTATGGACTCTAGAGCATTGGGAAATCCGACTGGTCCTAGGACCACACTTTAAGATTAAACACTGCTCTATATTTTAACTATTTTAACTATTTTGAACTGTATTTAGAATGTAGCAAACTCAATTTTTTAAAGTGATGCATTTCAGAATTTATCCAACTTGTGTAATGTACCCAATTACAACATGAAGTAAGCTTTAATTTTGTTTTTTCACCAGGACACAGCATTAAGAAAGGTAGCTGAACCATACATAGTGAAAGAGCAAATTTAAAGGACTACACAAAAGCTGATATTAAGAAAAGCTCTTAATATTAGCTTTTTAGATTACTGGCTATTGGTTTCTTGGATTATTCAGTAAATGTCAAAATTACTGCACTGGACTTATTTTGTCAAGTATTGATAATCCACACATTGGACAGCTATTCTGTATTCCCTCAACTGATTTTTCTGTGGATGTCTGACAAAACGGGGCGAAACTGGAGTTGTCATAGGAATGTATATAACAGCTTCTACAGTAGATCTATCATTAACTAGTACAATTGAATGAAAAAACACTGTTAAATTGTTAAATCTTATCAACATCAGGATGACCAGTCCTCACCTGAACATTGAAGAAATGCCCATCTTTCTGCATTTCTATCCACAATTGCTTATTTATTTATGGAATTTATAAACAATCTGAAAACTAAGAACCATAAGAGCTATAGCAAAAGCCAAAAAAAAACCTCCCCAGTAAAATGAAAGTACCATTATATAATAAATCCTATTGCATTAAAATCACAAGGATAGCTCAATTTCTGGTGCAGTAGCTTTACGTATGTTGTAGCATATGAATAGATGTTACCAGAAAATTGGCATATTGTGGGGGCCCGGGTGGGGAACAAGTCTTCTGCTGAACCCAGGTGAGGCAGAATGGCTGTGAGTAGTGGGCTCCTCTGTATCCAGGGGTTTATCATCTTTGTCATGGATGGGCTCGCAGACTCAGGTAGACCAGGTGCATAATCTGGCAGTCCTCCTGGAATCATGACTCCTGCTCAAGGAGCAGGCAGTAGTTGAGGCAAAGAGGACTTTTGCCAACCTGCGTGGTATGCCAGATAGGCCTCTTCCTGGATCAGGAAACCTGTCAGTCACTTATGTCCTGGCTATCTCCATCTGACTATTGCAATGCGCTTTACATGGGGCTACCCTGAAGAATATCTGAAGTATCAATTGGTGCAGAATGTGGTTGCAAAGCAATCTTGGGTACCCCAAGAATGAAACGTAACACCTTTGCTGCANATAGATAGATAGATAGATAGATAATATTTCTGCGAAGAGAGAGCTGCACAAGATGGACTTTGTAGTATTGTACTTCCTAATTGAGTTATTTTATAGTTTGATTATTGTTTCCTCTCTTTTAAGTGATCAAATCATTGCAGACTGGAATGTATCCTATTGCAGTATAGACTGATTCATAGCTTCTAACATTGCTAAACTGAAAAGATAAAAACATGTTTTTTCTCCAGGTCAGGAGAGGATTATGGAGTTTGTCTTTTGATGAGACAAAATTTGTTAGAACTAATTGGTACATTTGTCTCTCTTGAACTCCAAACAATCTTTTGACCTTTTCCCCTCATTAACATCTTAAATGTTACATTTGTGCTTTCCTCAGACCTCATTGTGGGCTCCATCCCACTCTGGGTTCCTCAGGCCCATTGGTTTGAGGACATTACGGAAGAGTTGACATGGGGGCCAGTATAAGTTCTGCAAGGATGATATTTCAAAAGAAGGGAGTGGAGTCACCACAAAGAAAAAAAACATGTTCATGCTCTTTCACAATTTCATGTTTGAACTGGAAGCTGAAAAGAAAATCCATATTGTAGAATGGTGTTTAGAGTACAGACCTCAAATATGCGAGAGGATTAGTTGAAAGTTTATTCTTCAAAGCATAGTTTAGGTAATCTGGTTTAGGCGATCATTCATAGGCTCTTCAGCCAATAGTTAAATATTTTAATTGCCAGAATAATTCTGTCTGGATTTTGGAGATGTTCCCAGTTCTGCCCTAACTTGCAGAAGCTGAAATTCAGAGTTTCTATTTATACTGAAATATCTTTCCATTTCTGACCATAATTTTATTAACCATGAATTGCTGGCTGAGTCTGCAGCAAGTCCAGTGCAATATACAAACTGTGTAGGCCAAACAAAATGAACTAGGTGTGCCTTATGAATTCTGATTGGTGATAAAGACAATATAAAATATGACAGATATTCTATTATATATGTGTGCATCAGTGGTGGGTTGCTCTCAGTTCAGCTCAGTTCAGCCAAACCTGTAGTAGGTGCGGCGGGAGGCATGAACAGAAGTGTTGTGCGTGCATGCGAGCATGCATGGGAGCACACCTGAACCGATATTTGCAACCCACCACTGATGTGTTATGCCACTCTAATGGATTTGATAAACCTGTTTGAGAAAGTTAACTAGTTAACTATTAACTATTATAAGTTAACTATTCTAAGTCACAATTGAGGTCAATACAGTAGTTAAAACATCCCTTTTTTAACTCATGAAATCCTAGAATTCCCTAGGACAGATTTTAAGGATTGAGAAACTCTGCCTTAGGGGCTGGAAAGGGCAACTGGATAGAACTGAGGGCAGGATATTAGGACAACAGCTGTCTCTGTGTTGCAGCAGATTGTGGTTTGTAATCTACTTACAAAAGAGCAGGACTTGAGACCACGAAAGTGAGAGAANCTCTACAGCTCTTTCTAAGCAGTTAACAGAGTCAGCCTATTGACCCCAACAATCTGGGTCCCGCTTTTACCCACGTCAGAAGGGTGGAAGACTGAGTCAACCTTGAGCCTGGTAGGATTTGAACTGCCAAATTGCAGGCATCCAACAGTCAGCAGAAGTAGCCTGCAGTACTGCACTCTAACCACTGTGCCACCTCGGCTCTTAAGACCTATAATGCCAGATAAGATCAGGCTGCATACTGCAGCTTGACTTTACCTGCACTTATATAGCAATAGCACTTAGACTTATATACCACTTCACAATGCTTTTACAGCCCGCTCTAAGCATCTTACAGAGTCAGCATATTGCTCCCAACAATCTGGGTCCTCATTTTA